TTCAGTGACCCCCAAGCGCCTGTATAGAGACTACGATGCACGGCGGCTGCACTAGAATACAAAATCGATCTCTTATGCGCGGCGCTGGACTGCTAATATAAGCTATATAATCTCTCTGTTTATATAGCAGCTGTGAGAGTCCCAGGGCTAATAAAAGGAATTGCGTGCGCGGTTTGCCCGATGAAGGCGGCGGCGAAATCCCACCCATCACCTACTATTTATTATACACGCGTCAGATGTCAGTGAAGGAGACAGCGAATCTACGAAAATCACTTTGAATGAATGTTGTTATAGTGCTATAAAATTATTATTGTGTGTGCCTGTGATGTGTGCGCTAGAGAGGGAAGGCCACATAATATACTATAACGGTGTGCGCGGCAGATAAAGCTATACACATCTCTCCCAGGAAAACGCGCTGCCTGCAGGCTCTTTTTGCCTATTATGCTCTTAAAAACCCCGACCATAACACTTACCGATGGCGCTACACACGGTGGATGTCGGGTAGGCGGACTGCTTAAACCATAAGCACTAGCACGAGCACTGGCGCTGGTGCTGGCGCTTGGCTCATCCTAGCCATGTCTCTGCTTTTCACCTGCTGGCTGGGGGGGGGAGGGGGGGAAAATTAAAAACAATTAGGGCGACGGCACATTTTTTATAAAAGTTTCTATCGTATGAAAAGTGTGGGGGCAGCAGGTGTGAGCATGAGCAAACATTTCCTGTTTTTAAAATATGTGTACACAGCAGATGTAGATAATGTGGGAGGGCTGTGGGTACGCCCCCACCCCCACCCCCACCCTCTTCATCTTTTCCCCCGAAGGCCACGCCCTCAAAAACCATATCGCCACACACCTATGCCCCAATTCCCGGATGCTTTCTAAACCTTTCTATGTGCCATTACCTTCAGATAGGATGCCTGTCCACCGTTTTTCAGTGACCCCCCAAGCGCCTGTATAGATAGAGACTACGATGCACGGCGGCTGCACTAGAATACAAAATCGATCTCTTATGCGCGGCGCTGGACTGCTAATATAAGCTATATAATCTCTCTCTATATATATAGCAGCTGTGAGAGTCCCAGGGCTAATAAAAGGAATTGCGTGCACGGTTTGCCCGATGAGGCGGCGGCGAAATCCCACACATCACCTACTGTAATACACGCGTCAAGAGTCAGAGAAGGAGACAGCGAATCTACGATTATTAATATTATTATTATTGTGTGTGTGTGCCTGTGATGTGTGCGTGAGAGGGAAAGCCACATAATATACTACAACGATGTGCGCGGCAGAAAAAGCTACATACAACTCTCCCAGGAAAACGCGCAGCCTGCAGGCTCCTTTTGCCTATTATGTTCTTAAAAACCCCGACCATAACACTTACCGATGGCTTTACACACGGAGGGGCGGACAACTGCTGCACCGCGACAGCATCACGATGCATCCACACCAAGCCCGGCAGCTCTTTTCAAAACATATCGCCCTGTGCGGAGCATGATACAGTTGCATACAGGGAGTGAGAAAACCACTCAATTCGATGGTACGCGCGCACACAGAATATCCTTTTGGACGATCTCTACTAGCCACGACTTACTGGCCACGAGAGGCGGCGCTGCACTGGAATACTCCATCTTTTCCGCGCTTCTGAACTCTTAAGCTAATTTCTTAACCTCTGTAATAGCTACACATACATGTTGCGCTGAGTGCCAGGTCTTCTAAAAGGCACAGTGCGCGGTTTGTCGGCGAGATCCACCACACCTGCTATGTATCAGATACCTACGAAAAGATCTTTGAATACATATATAATTATTGTCAAGCTATAATTGTTTGTTTGTGGATGTGGAACACCTCGCAAGCGATTGATAACGTGGGCCAGACCCTAATCCCGTCGAACGTACGACAAACGACTTCATCTTGCCAAACAAATCCCAAGCGGTTTCATCATCAAGATACACTGCATATCAAATGCGCCATCCGTGATATATTTTGGAGTACAGCACAAAGAATGTCACGAGAGGCACTGCCAACGGATCAAACAACGGCTCGTACAACCAATCCCAACAACCCGCGAACAAAATCACAACGCAGCACCACTTTTACAACTCCATCGCAAAAGCGAATTTGCTACGTTGTGTGTCAATAAAACACCACGGATATAAATCATAAATAATGGAAACAAACAAATTTTGCCCAAACTTTATTCCAGCTTTACGACACCAGTGTTTTACTACTTCTCCGCCGCCTCGACTTTCCTACACCTACTTCCTTACGGCTTGGCATTACTGCTTTTGTAGTCCTGGCGGCTTAGGTAGGT